ATTGATTCTCAGGCAGATTCCGGAGCAATGGTGGTGGCTACCAGCCAGAACTGGGCCCAATCGCCCAAATGAGTATATTGGTTTGGAACTGCAAGGGGTTGGGCTCTACCCTTATAGTTCCCTCGTTGGTTGGATTCGTCCATCGTTTCTCGCCGGCAGTTCTCTTTCTTAGTGAAACCAAGAGAGATGATGAATTTGTAAATAGGAAGCTTATGCGTCTAGGATTCCCTTTTGTACATTGCGTCCCTGCTGTTGGTAGGTCAGGTGGATTAGCAGTAGCCTGTTCCTCTAGTGTCCTTTGTCGTGTCGTAGCCGAGTCCTCTGCGTATCTATTTGTTGAATGTCAGCATGTAGTTTGGGGAGTTATGTCCTTTATTTTTGTTCATTTGCATTATGATGTCCAGCTAAGGGCTGCTCAGTTTAATGAAATCCTTTCTTTGGTCTTGTTTTGTGCTTCTCCCATCGTCGTTATAGGTGATTTTAATTGCCTCCTGTTTGCTTCAGAGAAACAGGGAGGGCGAATCCCATCTTTCCAAGCTATGGAGCACTTCCGATCATTTCTTGAATCTGTGGGCCTCATAGACTTGGGATTCAAGGGATCCCCGTTCACCTGGTCAAATCGACAGGGCTCGAGTACTCTTATCCTTGAGAGACTTGATAGGGGTCTTGCTAACGAGAACTTGCTTGATGTTTGGCCTTCTTTGCAGGTGTGTCACCTAACCGACCTAGGCTCGGATCATCGCATGCTGCTACTTCAATTCATCCCGGGTGATGGCAAGGGGAAGCCTCGGTTCCACTTTGACCGACAGTGTAATGATGAAGCAAGAGTGATAGTTGCCCAAGAATGGCAGGCGGTGTATGCAGGCACTCCTCAATTCCAGTTGTACTCGGCATTGAAGGCCACTAGACATCAGTTGGTGGCTTGGGCGAGGAAGGGCACAACGAACTCAGCTCGTCATATCCGTGAGTTTAGGGCTGCCATCGAAGTTGAACGAGAACAAGAAGTTATTGATTGGGAGACGATCAAGCAGTTAGAAGTTCAGCTCTCCGAGGCCTATCGACAAGAGGAATCCTACTGGATTCAGAAAAATCACGGGTTGATTGGCTTCAAAAAGCAGATGCCAATACCGGATTCTTCCATGCCAAAGTTCGACAGACAAGAAGGTTTAACCGGATTGAGGTTCTTCGGATGAGAATGGTGGAGTGCACTATGATGAAGTTAGCAAGGGGTCCGTGGCTGTTTCCTTTTACCAGCAGCTCTTCTTGTCCTCTGCAATTCCTCCACACTTCCTCGTCAGCGCGCTCGGTCTCCCCCGTAAGGTCTCGGCTGAGCAGAACTTGCTTCTCACTACCCAAGTGACACCCGATGAGATCAAAGAGGCTGTCTTCAGTATCGGGCCGAATCAAGCGCCTGGTTCGGATGGTTTTACGGCTGCCTTTTTCCAGTCGTCTTGGGATGTTATTGGGCACTCAGTTCTGGCAGCAGCCTTGTCTTTCTTCAGATCAGGTCGGCTACTACATAACTTTAACCACACACTCCTCACGTTGATTCCTAAGGTGCCGAATGCGGATCTTATGAAGCAAATGCGGCCTATAGGTCTGTGCCAGGTGTTCTACAAGGCCATTGCCAAAGTTTTGGCGGTGAGGCTGAATCAAATCTTGCCGAAGATAATTAGTGAGGCTCAGAATGGTTTCGTGAAAGGCAGGGACATCTCGGATAATATTCTTATTGCCCAAGAAGTCATGCAATTTCTCAAGACTAAGACACAGGGACGGGATAAGTGGATGGCAGTGAAACTCGACATGGAAAAAGCGTATGATCGGGTGGAATGGGGGTTTCTATTTGCAGTAATGGAAGCGTTGGGCTTTGAAAATCAGTGGATTAAGTGGATGAAAGCTTGTGTGACCTCAGTCTCCTTCTCTATTATCATGAATGGGACGGAACATGGCTACTTTAGACCTCAGAGGGGCATTCGGCAGGGTGATCCCTTATCCCCCCTGCTGTTTGCCGTATATTCCGAAGTCTTTTCCTCGATGATTGATGCTGCCTTATCCTCGAATCAGCTCCACGGGTTGAAAGTTCATCGTCATGCCCCCACCGTTTCGCATTTGCTGTTCGCTGATGACTCATACCTTTTCTTGTGGGCATCATCAACTGAGTGCTCCTCTCTTTTTCATCTCCTCGGGCTGTACGAACAGTCAAGTGGAGCTAAGGTCAATCTTTCTAAATCCTCTGTTTACTTCAGCGCTAATGTCACGGACCAGGAAGCTGTTTTATTGTCTGGGCAGCTAGGGATCTCGGCTGTCGGGCCGTTGGACAAGTATCTCGGACTTCCTGCCCAAGTCCAACGATCCAAGGTTTTAACCTTCCAGTATGTCGAAGATGCTCTTGCAGGTAGGATTCGAAGCTGGAAGTCCAAGGCCTTGTCACTGGCTGCAAAAGAAGTGATGATTAAGGCAGTGGGGTCGGCTACTCCGGTGTATACGATGCTATCTTTCAGGCTGCCCTCCACAAGTTGTCGTAGGCTAAATAGCCAGGTGTCCCGGTTTTGGTGGGCAGGGCAAGACAAAGAGAGGGGTATCCCATGAATTTCTTGGCCGGCGGTGTGCACAAGCAAATTCGAGGGAGGACTCGGGTTCAAAGATTTTGATCTGTTTAATATCGCTATGTTAGCCAAGCAGGCGTGGAAACTTGTTCAAGATCACTCGTCCTCCTTGGCTCGCATTTATAGAGATCGGTATCATCACAATTCCTCCTTCCTCAAGGCGCCAGTGGGCTCTCGTCCTTCCTGGGCATGGCAGGGAATCCTCGAAGGACGGAAATTGCTGGTCAAGGGTCTCCGATGGCAGGTGGGGTGTGGGACAGCGATTGACATCCTCCAGGATCCATGGCTTCCTTCTTCTCCTCCGTCCGCTTCGAAGCTCCTGGATGGTGTCTCCCTCGCTAATCCATATGTGGCATCCCTCATACATCCTTTGACAAGAAATTGGAACTTTGATCTTTTAAGCAGCCTTTTTCACATGGAAAGTGTGAAGTGGATTCTGTCCATTCCACTGCCTTCCTCTCCAATTCCGGACAAGATCATTTGGCATTATTCGTCATCAGGTCTTTACACTGTCAAATCAGGTTACCAGCTTCTATCGGCGGCGAGATCAGCCTCTTTTGCACCCGTCTCGCCTCATTTGGACACCAAGTTTTGGAAGTTAATGTGGAATCTCCCCATACCGCCAAATCTGAAATTCTTTTTGTGGAGGCTTGTTCGCGGGTTCCTCCCGCTGCGTGCTGTGTTGAAACAAAAAACTCTTTGTGATGATGACATTTGTCCTGTTTGTTCGGACACAACTGAGTCAATATCCCATTGCTTTTTCAATTGCAGGGTCGCTCGTGGTCTGTGGGAGCTTGCTGGGAAGGATCACATTCGCCAGGCAGTTTGCAGTCTTCCCCCAGATGGTGCTTGGCGGCATATTTGTTTTGGGCTGCAGCTGTCTAAAGTCCAGATTGCGGAGTTAGTCTTCATCGCTTGGAGACTGTGGAAAGCCAGGTGTTGGACGGCGTATGACCGGGTCCAATTTTTGCCGGCTGCGTTGCATCGGCAGCTTTCCTCTCGGATCAGCGAGTGGTCGGAAGCAACTGGGAATTTGGCTTCCAATAGCACAGCTGGTCGGCAACAAGGCAGGCAGCCTCTGCCGGTTGTCTGTCCCCCGGGTGGTCTCTTGGTACGGTTTGATGGCGCCTACCGCAAAGATGTTGGAGGTAGCACAGGTTTCGTGGGATTTGCGGAAGACTCGTCGCTGGTATGTGCATATGGGAAGTTCTATACAGGTTTGGCTGATCCTTTCCTTTCTGAACTTCTTGCCCTCCGGGATGCAATGGTATGGTGTTTACTTCATGGGTTCTCTAATGTTTGTTTCTGTGGTGATTCGCAACTGGTGATCCGGCGAGCGACGGCGAATGATGTTCATCATGAGTCTGGTGGGGCGATCCTAGAGGAAGTGAGGCTCCTGAAGTCAAGCTTCCAGTGCATTAAGTTTGTTTTTGCTCCTCGTAGGACTAACAGGGCTGCCCATTTAGTGGCAAAAACGGGCCTTGCATCGGTAGCTCGACAATCGGTCGACTACTGCTATTTACTTTTTCACCAATTGTAATCACCTGTCTATCTACGATCTATCTATGGCAAAAAAAAAATCTTTCTTTTTTCTAATTCCGTATAAATAAAAATGTACTTATGAAAATCTTAATATGATTTATTCATATTAAATTTTGTATAGTTCGTCGTCATTTTTAAATATAATGTTTTTGACATAATTTGTTTAAATTCTAATACCAATTTTTTTTTACAAAAAATAATTGACCTAATTTTGGTTCACACACAAATTATCCCAAATTTAACCGCAAACAACTATTAATTTATAAAAAACAAAAAAAGGAGCTGGGCGTTCGGCGTTCCCGAGAATCGGCAAAACGTTCCCCAAATATAGCGATTCATTTGTCGATTTTAGCTAAAAATGACGCCGGTCGCCAAATAAAGTCCCACTGGATGATTTATTCATATTAAATTTTGTATAGTTCGTCATCATTTTTAAATATAATTTTTTTGACAGAATTTGTTTAAATTCCGACACCAAATTTTTTTTTGGCAAAAAATAATTGACCTAATTTCGGTTCACACACAAATTATCCCAAATTTAACGGCAAACAACCATTAATTTATAAAAACAAGCAAAAGGAGCTGGGCGTTCGGCGTTCCCGAGAATCGGCAAAACGTTCTCCAAATATAACGATTCATTTGTCGTTTTTAGCCAAAAATGACGTCGGTCACCAAATAAAGTCCCACTGAAAAAGAGAATTCCCCATATTTACCGATTTCCCCGGTTTTAGCGAACCCATTGGACTCAAGCCTTATTTCAATTTCTTAGTTTCTTTCATATAAAATGATTAGGCCACAATGATGTTACTTTCCTTAATCGTGGATACTAATAATTTCAGCAAACTTGTCGTAAACGAAAAGCAAAATTTACTCACCTTTCTTGCTCCTCCATCTACACTACAAGGTGAAGTACTTGCGGTGTTTATTCACTTTCCTGTTATCTTGATTTGTGTCTAATCTTGCTAGATTAGTCCCTAACAGAGATCTGTGTCATTATTTGTGCTGTATTTCTTAAATTCAAGCCAGGTATTTTGCCGATAAGCGCTATCGATCATAACATCTGCATATTAAATTAGACACGGACATCTTTGACAAATGAATTTGACCCACATTTTCGAGTTTCAGACAAAGAAGAAATTATAAGAACCATTGTCCAACGCTGTCTGTGCAGAGTGTTTATGCTATTGTTCCCACTTCCTGGAGAGCCTATTCATGAGAGTTTCAGCCGTGTTAGCAGTAGCAGCATCACTATTGTCTCATTGCTAGCATCTTCTTCTCCATCTGTTGGTGCGATCCTGCTGCGATTGCTCCATCCATCATCCGACACCGTGCCTGTAAGGCAGCAACCAGTAACTGCAAGCCGATGGTGACGAGTCTTACGGAATGATGATTCAAAACCACTGGATTTTCTGAAGGATATATGACATAAGGAAATCAGAAACTCATACATCGGAAGCAGGCATCATACCTGTCAATTTATTCGAGAACCCATATTCCTCTCAAGTCGAAGTCATATACAAGTACAACCCTCACTTGCTAATCTGATAACACCTTTTCAGATAGAATCTACAGTAAACAATTAAACATCTTCAAAGTCTAAGTCAAATCTTTCTAACCACTGCAAAAGCACGATCTACAGAAGCAGCAGAAGTTAGAAAGAGAGAAGAAGAAATCAAGGCAAAATCAGCAGCCAATTTCTGTAGTCCCTAAAAAGCTCGTAGAGAATCAACTCCCTCAAGAAAAAAACGCATTGGAAGGACAGGGAAGCAAACCGTGGAGAACAAAGAAAACTAAGATAAAAACATTTTGTCCATCACAGATCCTCAAACCCCAAGTCGGCCAAGCCCAGGCTCAAGTAACCCTGATCATCAACGGTAACAGTATTGTCCTCCTGCCTCCCAGGCTCCAAAAAGTTGAAGCAGAAATCCTCAGCAGCAGGAAGGATCAATGGCGCTGGCTCCTTGTGCTGCGAACCACCAATGAATCTAGCATCATGCTCCTGCATCTGGTTGTTTACTGCCCCTTCGAGTGGGTGATTCTCCAATGCACCCAGTAAGTCGTCAATGCTAAACATCTCATCCATCGTGAAGTCATGACACTCATAGTCTTTCACATCCAAGGGCTCCTCTTTCATTTCCGGTTTCAGGCTCGTCTGGTCTTCATCAAAAGCCCCATTCTTGTCTACCAACAGAGGCTCTTCTTTACAAGGATCCGAAGATGATACCTCATCCACCCCATGAGCCGTGGCCTTCGACTCACCCTCAACATCAGGAACCACCAAGACCTTGGCATCATCTTCATTCTCACAAACCTCAGAATGGTTGGATGATGTAGTAGTACTAATCGTAGAGTACCCACCAGATGGTGTTGCCGCAGAATAACCATTCGATGTAGTCGGGGCCCTAGAGATATCTGGAAGGTTCAGCCTGGCATAAGGACCATACATGGCTCTAGCAGCATCATCGTAGGCTAGAGCAGCTTCATAAGCAGTAGGGAAAGTGCCAAGCCACAATCTAGGACCTTTATTGGGCTCTCTAATCTCTGCTACCCATTTACCCCACGTCCTCTGTCTAACACCCCTGTACTTGCAGTGAGAATTATCGGGCCCGCCTTTTCCTTTCATACATCCCTTTTTCGAGCCCTTGGCGGGAGCTTTTCGCCCAGACTTCTTGCCAGCGGCTCCATCCGCGCAAGTGTCGAGATACTCGTTGTACTGCTTCCACTTTTTAAGAGTCTCCACAACAGATTCAGTTCCTGTTCTTCGTCTCCTCTTCCTTGTAGAATCCGAGCAAGCTGCTGTAGAGGCTGGATCGAAGCCACCCATGTCAGAGATATTGTCAACAGGAGATCTGCAGAAAGAAGCCAATCGCGGTTCAGTATATCTCTATGAGAGAGGGATAAGGAGACAGCTTCTTAAATATGTTGAATTTAACCCGTGTACACACTCAAATTACTTGCAGCCGAAGTATTGGAACCCAGTTGTTAGTTTCCGTTTTTAATTTGCCATCTACCCATTTTCCAGCGAGCATTTCGGGTAACAATTTACTGATAAAAGCCTTTTTCCCCTTGAGCCCCAAGCAAGGGAATAGTCCAAAACTAGCTTATAAGTAGTAACTATCAATTCTTCGTGCTAATGAATCTTCGGCGCTAAGCTACTTTAAACTCTGGAAAAGCCTAGAACATTAGACGCCTTTTCTCGGAGACCAAACAGCAGGAAAACGAATTGTTCCTAATTGCTCCTAATGCAATGAATTGGAAGGACGAATGTTCGAACCCTAATCCCCAAATGTCTACCGTGTTGATGCAAACCCAGAACCCGAAATCAGAGAGGGAGTTATCAACCAATAAAATTCAAGCCACTAATCGAGAAGAGACTCCGAGAAGCAAACCTTGAACCCTAAAATGGAGGAAAACAACAAAAATAACGAATCGGGAAGGAAGGAATCGACGAACTAACCTGTGAGATCTTTCAGAGGTCATGCAATGAAGCAAGCGAGCACGAAAAGAAGCCAAGCTCGAGCGGAAACCAGTCTGGCTTTCTCTTCAGATCAAATTCTCAGCCGCACAACGATTAATCTCTGCTCTTTCGTTCTAAATTGATCTTCCGATTTGGTGTTTTCAGGTTTTTTCTACTCTTGGTTTTGGCGAGAGATTTTGAGAGAGTTTACTCTTGGCGAAGGCAAAAGGTAAGGAAAATGATCGAATCTTTGAGAAAGACTAATAAGTAATGAGAGAGATATTTATAGGCTTCTCTAGATTTTTCTGATATTATCCCGTCCCGTCCAAAAATATTGTTTTGGTACCTGGCTTAAAACTTATAGGACACTTTGGTACCTAAACTCATCTATCGTCATCCCAAGCGTTGCTTTGTTAGCGAATTCGAACTAATAAATCTATGATAATCAAGATATTTAATCTATTTATTCCGAATACATCTCTATTCAGTATTCACTTATCAATCCTCGAATTACTTGTAATTGAAGTGCGCCCACATTTTTTTTACAGGAGTATATATAAATCGGACTTTCCTATTTTATAAGTTTACTAATCACCTGTTTAACGAGAACAATCACATAAATCCAAGAATCTTGAGAAATACTTGTTCCTTCACCCTCTTCCAATTCGCATAAGTGAACCTTGAAAATTTTATAATTTCTTTTGCAATAGGACAACACACTATCTGATGGCAATTTGAACCAGGCTTGCGGGTATTATTCGAACTGACTCAGATGGAATGAGTATTACCTGACCTGTAGTAGCGTGAGATGGAGCATAGTTACCTTTTTACGACCCGTCCTGTCCTGCCTCGTCCCGTTCTTGACCAATTTTATATCAATTTCTTACAATATCTATTCATATTTCTCCTATTTTGACATTTCTTCAACTAGTTAAACTAAATCTTTCAACTAGTTAGACTCAATTACTCATTCTATTTTTTATTCATAAAATATTTATCCCTTTGTTTTGTCGCGAGTAATTTTTTTTAAATAACATGTAAGAGTGGGTCGACCCGCCCCATCCCGTATCCACGTAGATATTCCCGTCCTCGACCCATAGTAGCGTGAGGCTAAACATGAATATTGAGGTACCCGTCCCGTCCATTGCCATTGCTACTATCAACTCACTCAATATTTCAATCCAACCTGTTGGCCAAACAAACGCCTTTAATCCAACAATAACAAAAAAATTACGCAAACTATGCTAAGTGCGGCATCAAATAAATCTTCACGTACATTACTTCTTCATCTTACTAAATTACGAAACGTTCTTGTGAAATATGGTGTAACGCCAGAATTTTTGCCCAGGAGCTCAACACGCTGTTGGTGTCAAGTGTCAACTAGTTAATTGGTTAAACACAAAAGGGCAAATTGGTAATAATAGATGATATGAAATGAAAGGGATGTCATTTGGAGTATGAGAAACTCAAGTTACTAGTCACAGGAAACAACAAACATGAGGTATGTGATGTCGCTCTCGAGGAGGATAATGGCTATTAATTAAATATTAATTAGCACGGTTTTCCCCTATTTTTAATCAACGAACAGTATCTCACCACGTGGGCGCCTCAACCACCCGCCACGTGTCCCTGTTAATCCTGTTCCGGTGAAGGATGCCACAGCGCCGTATGGTGGTGGGGGATGATAGAGGCGTGCATGCAAGCCACGTGGCACCATCTGGCCCGCTCATGATACTGCAACGTCGGGTGGATGTCGTCATCGGTGACCACTGACCCACGCCGCCGATGAGGAGAGAAAAAAACAAAACTGAATTTGGTGTCGTCATTCATAATTAGGAACTCTGACAGTGACAGCTCCTGCTGCTGCTGCTTCTTTCCTTTTTTTTGTTTATTTGGCTCTCTGTTCTTCATGTCATGATCCTGCCCACGGTTGGTACACGGCGCGCAGGTAGGAGCAGTAATGGCTTACGTAAGCATTTTTTTTTATGAATCTTCTTTACTAAGTATCCTAATCCGACAACCCTAAATATATAGTAGCCGCCGGCCGTGTTCCCAAAGGACTAGGAAATTTCTTCAAATAAATAAATAGAGGGATGTGCATCTCTGGATGACAGAAAGAAAACAAGCCGTTCCAGTTCCAGCGGCGTTAATCAATCCAAAGTCCAAACTATGGCGCCCCGGAATCTGCGTTTTCTCCCTTGCTCCTCCTCCTCCTCCTCGGCATGGGAACTGCATAGAGTCCCAAACCCTCCGTCTCCTTCCAGCAGCATCAGCAAACTGGGAGGCGATCTCCTCTTAGAAGTTGTAATTCGCGTTCCGGACCCGAGGTCCGCCTTCCGCTGCAAACTGGTCTGCAAGCGGTGGAACTCTCTGATCTCAGATCCCTATTTCAACCGCCGTTTCGTCTCCCATCACCAGAGGATGAACGAAGGATACCCATCGCTGCTTATTCGCTCAAGGGATCGCGAATCCGTTATCCTGAGCTTCCTCCCCTTGCCTTGTTGTTTTTCCAAAGCGCCTTTCCGTGTTTTTGATTGCTTCAAGGACTTGGTTCTATGCGGGATGTGGGTCTGTGATCCCGGAATGGGCAGGTCTTGGTTTGTCTGCAATCCGTTTACCAAGCAATGGGTTGCCCTTCCTTTAATGCCTAAACGGTCGCGGAAGGAACGTGCTGGAATGGTTGCGAGGTTAGTTTGTGAACCTCGTTCTAATCCCGAGCTTGATCTTGGAGATGGCCAAGTATTTGTTCATTCCGAGTATCGGTTTCGGGTGGTGTGTATGTATAAAGAGGGTGGGGGAGGGGATGGGATGTCTACAAAACTAGACGTGTTTTGTTCCGAGTCTGGAGCCTGGACCGAGGGGGCTTTTGTCCTTGACAGTAAATATAGTACCTATCTTGATCAAGTAGTTTCGTGCAACGGCAGGTTCTTTTGCTATGCCTCGGAATCTGCTGCAATTCCTCCAATTCTTGGCATTGATCCTTTCCGCCTCGATAGACCTCCATACCGTGTGGATAATCATCCTGGATTTTCATGGGAACATTTTGATATCTCAATCTCGCAAGGCGTTTTGCACATAGCTCGACTTGCTCACAACTCTGCTGCACCTCCCTTGTTGACTGTTTGGAGACAGGAAGAGGACGACGACCACCAACATATATCTTGGAGTGAAGTATATCAAGTGTCGTTGAAAGAGCCGTCAAAACCATGTAATTACAGTCGTGAACGTTGCTACTTTGCCTGCTTGCATCCAGACGACCCGGAAATTGTCTTCTTGTATAATGACTTCGACGTTATATTGTATCACGATGTGAGGACGGGGGAGGAAGGCGTCTTTGATGATGAATATTCACATCCCTGGCGGCTGTTCCAGCCTAGGATATCCTGCTGGCCTACCCCAATTCCAAACTACGAAAAACTCCGAGCTGCATACGATGCCTGTTGTGTTCATCACACCAGACGCCAAGCTGCTCGTCCTGCTCTGCCCCTCAGAATCTAAGTTTGTATGTAGACATTCTTTTCTTTTGTCTGTTAGGGTTTATTTAGGAGAAGTTTGCTTGGAACTAGGAATGTTAAGAGCGTTTTTCAGTTGAAGCAGAACAGAGCAGTCGTAGCTAGCTTATATTCTAAACTGTAATGAAGCTGAGTGAGGGGCGCTTAATGTCTCTCCTTTCATTTTGTTTCTATTGTTCGGTTTTTATCAATATATATGCTTCCTTCTTGGCTCTCATTTATTGGTACTACAATTAGTTTGTGCAGCAGTGCATAAACTCCATCATCATCTGCCAGCAACTCAATGGCCTTCTGTCCAGCCATTTCAGCAACATCCCAGTTCCCATGTATACTTTCTGAATCGCTTTAGGGAGATACTCTGAAATTTGACAGTGTTTTTCCGTGAAATGACAGGATACTGTTCTATGTAAATTTAAGGTTTTTCTTCATCAGTATTCTTCCTCTTTCTATTCCAAATAGTTAGTAATGAAATTGTAATCAACAATGTGGGCGTTTGCCCTCACATTTTCAGGTTCTTCCACCTGTTCCTCCTCCTGTCAATGCTGTGCTGCTACCGCATCATCAACCGCAACCTGTGGGACTTATCTCATCTGTAAGAATTTGTTTTCCTTACCTATTCGATCGTTTTACTACATGTTTTGTTACCTTCTGGTTTTGAGGACATTGGCTTTTAAGGACGATATTGATCGGTTTCATATCAGTTTCGTGGCACACAATTCGCTGTACAAGGGACTGAGAAGCACAAGCCTCTGAATGGGGGGTCTATGTTACACATTTTCTCTGAGGTACATTCGCTTTAACGAACTTAAACTGCAATCAAGTGTTGAGACTGCTAAGCAAGGATTGCAATTGCATTTCGTGAAGTGTGCCATGGAGCTTTGTTTTCTTTCTTTACTTGCAGAAGGCGGGAACAAGATGACAACAGCAAGGGAGGATCTTACAAGAATTAAACAACCTCTTCGTCCTGAACCCCCCATTTTCTTCCTCCGTGTGCAGTAGCTTATCTACCTTCTGCATTTTCAACGAGTTTTATTCGAAAGAAGACCATACCATAGAAATCATTCATATATCTTCTTCCAAATCAATTAGATGAAGCTGATAACAACTTGTGTCATTGATTAATTTTGATTTTGCTTTCTATTACAAAAGCAATCATTGGAATTACTGGTCACAAATGAATGCATGCATGCATATTGCATGGCCGGCCTCCAAATCGAGCAAGGATATAGCTAGCTCTTATTCCAATCGTATTCACAACCATATAGAAATTCAATACATATAGCTAAGTAGCATACTATAAGGAAATGTACATAACATTAACTAGCTTGGTACCCGTCCGTTGGCCAAATTATGTTGCGTTGGAAGGTAAATGAATATCTCTTTATAAATATTCATATAAAAATGTTCATTACCTTTTTGAACAAATGATTTTTTATTTTATGCAGCGCATATATTCATATCCAGTTTTCATTGTTTTTTGACATATGAATATTGGATCACATGTGCTTTAGTATTTTTTATATATAATATAAAGGGTTAATACCATTACAACACCCGAAATAATACAAAAATGCCATTTGTATCCTATTCTTTTCAATATTCCATTTATGTCCTCAACTATGATACTTTTGTGTCATTTGTATCCTGTCAATTTCGTTGACCGTTAAAGATAACGATTGACCAAACGGTGGTCAACGTGATGTTGACTTTTGCTGACGTGGCAAAAAATGTGACAGCCACATAGATGCCACGTCAATGACTTATGGTTGTAAATAATTATATAATTAATCTCACTTTCAAATATTTTTCAATTTTTTCCTTTCCAACCTTCTCTCCTATTTGTTCCTTCATGCTCTCCCACTTGCTGAGGCATGAGCTGTTGTCGCCTTCTCAACATTGGGGTTCCTTCAACTGTGGTAAATGTATGTCTTCGCTCTTCCACTACGTACTGATCAAGTCTCAAGTACTTGGTCTCTGTTAACGAAACAACAGTTATTGCTAACGATTGTACCCGTTTGGAATTTGCCAAAAATTGACACGGAATAAATCCGCCCAAATTGGTGCTTAATGGACATAATCATCTTTGTAGAATAGCCTCAGGCCGAATTCGTGATCTGTAGACTTCAAAATCAAAAGAAAATGGCCTTTCGTCGACCTAAAAATTATGAAAATGCCATCCGAAAATAAATTGGCCCAAATCGGTGCTTAATGGACTTATCATCCGTGGAGAATAGGATCAATAGACTTCATTATCGGTGGAGAAAAGCCTTGGGCTCATTCCGTGATCCGCAGTCCCCAGAATCGAAAGAAAACGCAATTTCGGAAATATCGCCTGAAATCTGTGATGGTACCCCTTTTGAATCTGCCAAAAATTGACCCGGAATAAATCCGCCCAAATTGGTGCTTAATGGACTTAATCATCGTTGTAGAATAGCCTCAGGCCGAATCCGTGATCTGCAGCCCCAGAATCGAAAGAAAATGCCATTTCGTGGAAATAAATATTACGAAAATGCCATCCGAAAATAAATTGGCCCAAATCGGTGCTTAATGGTTTTATCATCTGTGGAGAATAGGATCAATAGACTTCATTATCGGTGGAGAATAGCCTCGGCCTGATTCCGTGATCTGAAGCCTCCAGAATGGAAAGAAAATGGCATTTCGGAAAAATCGCCTGAAATCTATGATGGTACCCCTTTGGAATCTGACAAAATTTGACCAGGAATAAATACGGCCAAAACGGTGCTTAATGGACTTAATCATTGTTGAAGAATAGCCTGAGGGCGAATCCGTGTTTAGTAGCCTTCCAAATTCTAAGAAAATTGCCTTCGTCGACATAAAAATTACGAAAATGCCATCCGAAAATAAATTGGACCAAATCCGTGCTTAATGATCTTATCATCCATGGAGAATAGGATCAGTAGACTTCATTATCGGTGGAGAATAGCCTCCACCTGATTCCGTGATCTGCAACCTCCAAAATAGAAAGAAAATGGCATTTCGGAAAATTGGCCCGAAATCTGTGATTTACCTCTTTGGAATCTGCCAAAAATTGACCCGGAATAAATCCGCCCTAATCGATGCTTATGGACTTAATCATTATTGAAGAATAGCCTCAAGCTGAATTCGTGATCTGTAGCCTTCAAAATCAAAAGAAAATGGCCTTTCGTCGACATAAAAATAACGAAAATGTCATCCGAAAATAAATTGGCCCAAATTGGTGCTTAATGGACTTATCATCCGTGGAGAATAGGATCAATAGACTTCATTATCGGTGGAGAAAAGCCTTGGGCTGATTCCGTGATCCGCAGCCCCCAGAATCGAAAGAAAACGCAATTTCGGAAATATCGCCTGAAATCTGTGATGGTACCCCTTTGGAATCTGCCAAAAATTGACCCGGAATAAATCCGCCCAAATTGGTGCTTAATGGACTTAATCATCGTTGTAGAATAGCCTCAGGCCGAATCCGTGATCTGCAGCCCCAGAATCGAAAGAAAATGCCATTTCGTGGAAATAAATATTACAAAAATGCCATCTGAAAATAAATTGGCCCAAATCGGTGCTTAATGGTTTTATCATCTGTGGAGAATAGGATCAATAGACTTCATTATCGGTGGAGAATAGCTTCGGCCTAATTCCGTGATCTGAAGCCTCCAGAATGGAAAGAAAATGGCATTTCGGAAAAATCGCCTGAAATCTATGATGGTACCCCTTTGGAATCTGACAAAATTTGACCCGGAATAAATACGGCCAAAACGGTGCTTAATGGACTTAATCATTGTTGAAGAATATCCTGAGGGCGAATCCGTGATTAGTAGCCTTCCAAATTCTAAGAAAATTGCCTTCGTCGACATAAAAATTACGAAAATGCCATCCGAAAATAAATTGGACCAAATCCGTGCTTAATGATCTTATCATCCATGGAGAATAGGATCAGTAGATTTCATTATCGGTGGAGAATAGCCTCCACCTGGTTCCGTGATCTGCAACCTCCAAAATAGAAAGAAAATATCATTTCGGAAAATTTGCCCGAAATCTGTGATGTTACCCCTTTGGAATCTGCAAAAAATTCAGCCGGAATAAATTCACCCAAATTGGTGCTTAATGGACTTAATGATCGTTGAAGAATAGCCTCAGGCCGAACCCGTGATCTGTAGTCTTCAAAATTCAAAGAAAATCGCCTTTCGGGGAAATAAAAATTACGAAAATGCCATCCGAAAATAAATTGGCCCAAATCGGTGCTTAATGGACTTATCAACCGTGGAGAATAGGATCAATAGACTTCATTGTCGGTGGAGAATAGCTTCGGCATGATTCCTTGATCTGCAGCCTCCAGAATCGAAAGAAAATGGCATTTCGGAAAAATTGCTTAAAATTTGTGATGGTTGCAATCTGCCAAAATTTGACCCAGAATAAATACGTCCAAATCTGGTACTTAATGGACTGAATTATTGTTGAGGAATAGCCTGAGGGAGAATCCGTGATTAGTAGCCTTCCAAATTCTAAGAAAATGGCCTTCGTCGACATACAAATTACGAAAATGTCATCCGAAAATAAATTGGACCAAATCGGTGTTTTATGAACTTATCATCCATGTAGAATAGGATCGGTAGAGTTCATTATCGGTGGAGAATAGCCTCCGCCTGATTCCGTGTTCTGCAACCTCCAAAATCGAAAGAAAGTGGCATTTCGGAAAAATTGCCCAAAATCTGTGATGTTACCCCTTTGGAATCTGCCAAAAATTGATCCGGAATAAATCCGCCCTAATCGGTGCTTAATGGACTTAATCATCGTTGAAGAATAGCCTCAAGCTGAATTCATGATTTGTAGCCTTCAAAATCAAAAGAAAATGGCCTTTCGTAGACATCAAAATAACAAAAATGCCATCCGAAAATAAATTGGCCCAAATCGGTGCTTAATGGACTTATCATCCATGGAGAATAGTATCAATAGACTTCATTATCGGTGGAGATTAGCCTCGGAGTGATTCCGTGATCTGCAGTCTCCAGAATCGACAGAAAATTGAATTTCGTAAAAATCGCTAAAAATCTGTGATGGTACTCCTTCGGAATCTGTTAAAAATTGACTTGGAATAAATCCACCCAAATCGGTGCTTAATGGACTTAGTCATCGTTGAAAAATAGCCTCAGGCTGAATCCGTGATTTGTAGCCTTCAAAATCAAAAGAAAATTGTCTTTCGTCGATATAAAAATTACGATAATGCCATCCGAAAATTAATTCGCCCAAATCGGTGCTTAGTAGACTTATCCTCCATCGAGAATAAGATCAGTAGACTTCATTATCGGTGGAGAATAGACTCGACCGCATTCCGTGCTCTGCAGCCTCCAGAATCGAAAGAAAATTGCATTTTGGAAAAATTGCCCGAAAGCTGTGATGGTACCCCTTTGGAATTTGCAAAAAATAGACACGGAATAAATTCGCCGAAATTGGTGCTAAATGGAATTAATCATCGTTGTAGAATAGCCT